GTCCAATTATAGTAATTCCTAGCTACCATTTGAAAAACCACGGCATATATCAGCTTCCATGAAAGAAAGTAAGCTTCACTACAATTTATATGCCAAACATTTAAAACAATCAAAGTCTCGGAATTGAAGCTAAAATCTTGTATAAAGTGTACATGTACTTGCATTTCTAAACAATTAAAACAAACTCAAATTCCTCTTTACATATTGAAAATAGATAACTAAATTATTGTAACTAAAATAAAGAAAAAAACAACTTTCAAGCTAACTAAAGAGAAAATTAGGGCTATTCACGGGTCTGGTTGGGCCGGTTTATTGATGTTTTTTCAACCGACCCGACCTGATCAGGTTACCTGAAATTGAAATCGAAATCGATCCTGTGTTAAGCAAAATCGACCTAATTGGTTTGGGTTGGTTTGGGTCGGTTTCGGCTCTACTTAGTGGTGACTTAGTTACTGTTCAAGTGTTCATTTTTAGTTCTACATTCCCAAAAGAAATCAGCATTTCCTTAATGTTTTGTGGCCCATCCATGGATCCACTTGTGGAGGGAGCAGAGTTTGAGAGGCAACTTAGTTAAGTAGGTTGTAACTAGGATAGAGACAACTTAGTTAAGTAGGAACTAAGTAGGTTGTAACTACTAACTAGGAACTAACTACTAAGTTGGTTCCGTTCGGATCCGAACCGAATCATTGGTTTATGATTTTTTATAACCCGAAACCGACCGGTGCTGAAGAAAACCCAACTGACTTGGGTTGGATCGGTCTACGTTGGTCAATTTGGTCGGGTTGGGTCTTATGAACAGCCTTAGATAAAACACATTTAGAACATGCCTTGTATAATTTGTACGGAACAACAATTCCAAGACAGAGTGTGAGCTAGAAAGGAGTGTATAGAAGGAAAAATATCTCCCTCTATCTCTTGCTCGGATTTGGAGCCAACCAGAGATTCGAAGATGGAGCTACTTCTAAACCTGTGCATAATCCCATCAAAAGATGCCAAGTTCCAAAAACCCTATGAGGGTTGAGTTAAAAATTTTAGGAGAAAGTTTACCGCCCATTGTACTCCAATGAGATGATGACCTGACTATTAGCAGACTTAGCATTCGAGTAGTGGATCTCAACAGAACAGTTGTGAATTGAAAAAAGCCATTTCACTCCACTTCTGCTAGTCTTGTGGCCGTTCTACAACGAATGACACAAAGCTGGTTTAGTCATGGGGAAGGCATTACTAGAATTGGCACCAGTATCATTGCCGTGTCATGTGTCCGAAGATTCTCTCCAATGGTGGTAGTGGTGCGATGTTCAACTAAGAAAGATTCAATTGAGAAAGGAGAGAGACAGAGAGGGTGACTAAGAGAGAGAGAGACGATGGGGCGGGAAGAAGATGAAATGTGAAAAGGAAGAGGCTTGGGGGAGGAAAAGTGGAAAACCCCACCCAGATCGTGCTTGTACTATAGTGACAATCCTTGATATTTAGCGACGGTTTTAACTGATTGTTGCTAAAAAACCAATATTTCTAGCAACAACCATTTTTTGTCACCTTAAAAACTGCCGCTAGAAATGATATTTCTTGTAGCTCTCACCTCCTCCATTAAGGATTCATTCCATCGTTATTTTTAAGTCTTTAGGCCATTCACTTGGCTTGTTTAGAAGTTCATGATTGACCCATGGGTTGTTGAAGATGCCCACCTAGACTTAAATAGCAAGCAAAATCCTAAATATTTGAGCCCAACATAGCAAGCAAAATCCTAAATATCCGCATCCCCCACTCTAGACCCCATGATGGAGACAAATTAATCTAGGTTCTTACTCCCCAGGGAAAGTATTCTTGTAACTCTAGATACAAATTTCTTAATTCTCATGAGAGTGAATCTTCAAACATTATGTGGGCATCTCTAAGGCTTTCTTCGAAATCTCTATGGCCGTAATAAATTTCTCATAACTAGCATTAAGGTATTTTTGTGGCGACATTAGTCGGATGCTCTCCCTTTTGTGTTGTACTAGCCAAGAGATCCAACTATATTGATCCTACATGCAAATTATGTAATTGTGATTTTGAGATTACAAATCATATATTCTTCCATTGCCCAGTCATTACTCCAATCTGGCTTTCTTCTTTGGGTTTTCGTTCTAATGTAGGTCAACCCATGGGACTCACCTTTTGGTTACAGGAGTGGTGTCACTTGGATTTGGAGCTAGAGAACACCAACAATGCTAATTCTTTTCTTTTGAAGGGCATAGTCACCTTATGGCACATCTGGAAAATGAGAAATATATAAGGTCTATTTGGAGAACAAGATCTTCTCTCACCAATTTGTTCTCTCATGCATTACTACCCATCTCTTGGATATTTTTGAGAGTTAAACTCTTAATGCCAACATTGTCTCCACCAATAGGATGCCTATTGTGGTTAGTTCAAGATGGTTAAAACCCCTAGTTCATTTTCTAAAAATTAATTTTGATGGTACAGAGGAAGCTAAAGCTATGGCAGCACTTGAGACCCTATTATTAGCTAAATCCATGGACATGTATAATTCTATATGCTAAGCAAAGCTTATTCCCTATTTCCCTCTCTAGAACTCAACTATACATCTTGTTCTTGTGACATGGCAGCCCATGAGCTAGATCACTTTGTTCTTAGGCAAGACTGCTGCTTCTCTATGACATGGTTTGTTATTCCAAATTTTATTAGGTCTATTGTGGAGAAAGAGATGCAATCTTATCTTGTTGAATGATTGTGCCTTTGGGCTTAAAAAAAAGAAAAAAGAGTTGGTAAGGGATATAATAGGCATTATCCTAATTCAGTTACAAAAATTGTTTTTATATGATCATTCTTTATTTACAAAGTGATATTCTTCTTCCATGTGTTTAGACTTTGTTGTGCATATCAGGTTGTGTGCCATAGGTAAGTGACTGAAGTTCCATGTTTTTTGATTCAACATTTTTTTTTATGTAGATCACACCGTACATCAACTTTGATATGTTAGTGGCTATAACTCAAAACTCAAAGTATGTTTTTGGCTATGTGAGCTTGATTTAGTTTTTTTTTTTTTTTTTTTTTTTTATTTCTACAGTTCATTCTTAGTTTTTTATACATTATTTGATTTGATTCAAATTTTATAGTTGTAAAGTCTGTATGTTAGAATCAAAGATTTTAATGTCAAGATTCATGAACTCTCTATGCTTGATTTTCTTTTTAGTTTTGTAGCTCATGTTTTAGTTCTTATACGATTCTTATGTAATCGTTCTCAATCCTAGTAAAAACGATGACAATAATATTTCAAGCTAACCACTCAATATACGAGGTCGAATTAACGGGTCATTTTTTTGATAAAAATATATACTTTATTAAAGGAACCAAAAAGGAAGACAAGGATAACCACCGAGGAAATAGTGCTTCAAAGTTCCACGTTTGAATTACATGTATAATGTATGGGTTACTTCTTTGTAGTCAAGACCCATATGGCCATGTTGAGACTTGAGAGTGTAATAGTATCCTTTCTAATTCAATTTCTATTAATAAAAGTATGTGCATCGCACGGGTCCCTGCTAATAATTATATAAATTTTATGATTGATAAATTTAATATATATTTTAATTGATATACGTTTATTATGTTAAAAATAAATAAATATTTATTTTTTCTAACATTTTAAAGATAATAAGATGGTTGTGAATTAAATCTGAATCTGATTTGAAATCCGACATTGATAATTGAATGCAAACGCAGATCTAGAGGTTTGATAATCAGATGCATATGCAAACCTATTACAACCTTGTCAAAAACCAATACCTTAAAAGCATAGCCTTACCCAATACGATTTTTTTTTTTTTTTTTTTTTTATGAACAAATTTGGTCATTGTTTGAAACTTCTAGGGGTGCAGTTGAGCCGAGCTGAGCCAAAATCTTGTATGCCTTGGCTTAGTTCGACTAAAATACTATTAAGCTCGAGCTCAAGTTCAAGTTTGATCAGAAACTCTATTCCTTGGTTCGAGCTTATTTCGACTAAATATTCGATGAGCTTGAGTTCAGCTCGAAGCTTAGAAATGAATATATTTTTTATATTTTATAAGTATAGGTATATATTATAATATATAGTATATTCTTATATTACATATAGAATATAAAAATGTATTTTTATAATATATATTATAAAATATATTTTTATATGATGTATGTATGTATGTTTATATGTATTAAGCCAAGCTTACAAGTTTTAGAGTTGAACTTTTTAGGGAAAATTCATGGACTGTCTCTGTAGTATCCAAACTTCAAAACATGTCTTTGTAGTACCCTAAACTTTCAAATTGTGCCTAATAGGTCCCTAACGTTAGTTGACCGTTAGCAAACATCGTCACATGACATCAGATGCACATTAAATAATTTAAAAATGACCAAATTACCCTTTATGATATCTTTCTAACCATTTTATCCATTTCATCTGAATGTTAGAAGAAGGAAAGGGGAAGAAAAGGTTATGAAACTAGATGCCGATAAACTATTGAATCTCCTTCTCCCCCATTTAACGATCAATTGTAACCAAAGAGTCACCTATTCAGTTTCTAACCCATCTTCCCCTTTCCTTCTTTTAACACTTAAATGAAATGGGTAAAATAGTTAGAAAAATATCATAAAAGAGTAATTTTATTATTTTAAAATTATTTAATGCACACCTAATGTCATGTGGCGATGTCATGATCAACTAATGATAAAGATCCATTAGACACAATATGAAGGTTCAGGAATCAGGATACTCTTAAGAAAATTTCCCAAACTTTTTATTAATTGAGATTGAATTTCAATAACTACTTATCTTCAAATTCCAATTTTATTAAAATCGAACTTGAATCAAAGTTAATTAAGAACTATTATGTTAGAGGTAAATTCGATTGCAGCCCTAAAAGTAAAATCCACTCAAGTACGCATCTTCCTAATTCAATTATTCAAATGTTTTGCATGCTCGCATGAGCTAGTATACTATCTGCGTGTGAGCCATAGTCGGACCCCTTATTTGTATTTGTATCTAAATAAAAGAATGCGAGAAGCTTTGGTAGTAAATGGCCGTAGTATGAAGTTTATCTGCAAATATCACTTTGGATTGTCCGATCTCTGCGTTTTCTTCAGAGCACCCAGGAACTGGTACACCACATTGCTTCGGACCCAGGACATCCCAACCGAATGTACACAAGAGTTTTATCTGGGTATCTCATTAGACCCTAAAACTTATACGAATCTCCTTCAGTCATGCACCAGAGATGGGTCTCTGATCCATGGGAAGCTCATACACGCTCATATGATTAAGACCTCTTTCAAACCATGCCTGTTTTTGGAAAATGTTCTGTTAAACATGTATTGTAAGTGTGGGGAAATGGACATGGCCCAAGTCTTGTTCGATAGAATGCCGAAGCGAGATATTGTTTCATGGAATTCTCTTGTTTCTGGGTATTCCCATATGGGTTTTTATGTTAAAGGTATGAATGCATTTAAGGAAGCTAGAATAGCTTGTACTAGACTAGATAAATTTACTTATGCCAGTGCTTTGAACGTGTGTACTCGAATGGGCGATCTGAAGTTTGGTAAATTGATTCACGGCTTGATTATTGTTAGTGGTTTTGGTTTGCAAGTCTTCTTGACTAATTCGCTTATTGACATGTACTCAAAGTGTGGTTCTGTCGACCAAGCAAGGTTTTTATTCGACAATACTGATAAGTTGGATGAGGTTTCCTGGAATTCATTAATTGCGGGTTATGTTCGGGCTGGTTTGAATAAGGAAATGTTGAGAGTTCTTGTTCAGATGCATCAAACTGGACTACAGTTGAATAGTTATGCTTTGGGTAGCGTCCTAAAGGCATGCTCCTCAAGTTTTGACGGTTCCATAGAATTAGGTGAAATGCTTCACTGCTGTGTGGTAAAACTTGGTTTAGATACTGATGTTGTCGTTGCAACTGCATTACTTGATATGTATGCAAGGATTGGGGATTTGAACAGCGCAATCCTGATATTCAGCTTTATGCCCCGGCGGAATGTTGTCATGTTCAATGCCATGATTGCCGGGTTTTTCCGTTCAGAGGCTGAAATCTCTAATGAATTTGCAGAGGAGGCCCTAAATTTGTTCTCTGAGATGCGTAAAAGAGGAATGGAACCTTCAAAGTTTACATTCTCAAGCATACTCAAAGCTTGCAATGCTCTTAAAGCTTTTGACTATGGAACGCAAATTCATGCTCAGATATTCAAGAACTGTCTACAATTTGACGAATTCATTGGGACTGCACTTATTGACTTGTACTCGATGTCAGGGACAGTTGAAGAAGCATTGAAATGTTTTCATTCAATCCCTAAACTAGATGTTGTATCATGGACATCAATGATTGGTGCCTGTGTTAATAATGGTCAATTTGAACATGCATTGGATCTATTTAATGAATTACTGGCATCCGGAGGAAAACCAGATGAATTCACAATATCAAGTGTGTTGAGTGCTTCTGCAAATTTGGCTGCAGCAAGATCTGGTGAGCAAATCCAGGGATATGCGATGAAAACTGGAATTGGACAGTTCACAGTTGTCAGAAATTCACAGATATGTGTGTATGCAAAGTCAGGGGACATAGATGCTGCTAGTCTGACATTCAATGAAACAGAAAACCGTGATATTGTCTCCTGGTCTGTGATGATCTCCAGCCATGCCCAACATGGTTGTGCAAAAGAGGCTCTTAACCTCTTTGAGGTGATGAAAGGTTCTGGCATTGCACCGAATCACATTACATTCCTTGCAGTTCTAACTGCCTGTAGTCACAGTGGGCGTGTGGGTGAAGGACTCTGGTATAATTTTGGAATTTGCAATGCTGTAATATTTTACAATGTGCAGGGTAGGATGTCTTTGCCTATCCTGCACTGCTTTTGGAATCCATATTTAAATTCTTTGCCTGAGTTCAGCTTAACTTACTGAAAATCATTATACTGATGAATGCAGGTACTTTGAGAGCATGAAAAGAGATTATGGAATGGATCCAAATGTAAAGCACTGTGCATGCATTGTAGACCTCCTTGGTCGTGCTGGAAAACTAGCAGAAGCGGAAAACTTCATTTTGAACTCAGGCTTCAAGGATGACCCAGTAATGTGGCGAGCTTTGTTGGGTGCTTGTTGTCTTCATAGAGACACTGTCATTGGGACACGTGTTGCAGAGCAGGTCATTGAGCTTGAACCTCAGGCAGCTGCATCTTATGTACTGCTCTATAACTTATACTTGGATGTGGGCTTGCAGTCAGCTGCCATGAAAGTAAGAGAATTGATGAAAAGTCGAGGTATTAAGAAGGAACCTGGTCTAAGTTGGATTGAGATTGGGACAATTGTTCATTCTTTTGTGGCAGGTGATAGGTCCCATCCCAAATGTCAAATAATATATGCAAAGTTGGAAGAAATGTTGGAGAAGATCAAGAAATTAGGTTATGTTAATCCTATATCTGTCTTAGATACCTCTGAGAAAGATCTTAAGGACAACCTAGTGGTGAATTACCATAGTGAGAAGTTAGCTGTAGCCCTTGGAATGATTAGCCTGCCCAAGCCGGCTCCTATAAGAGTAATGAAGAACTTGAGAGTCTGCCAAGATTGCCATATAACAATGAAGTTTTTCTCAAAGACAGAAGATAGAGAGATCATTCTCAGAGATCCAATAAGATTTCATCACTTTAGAGAAGGTTCCTGTTCCTGTGGTGACTATTGGTAATAAATTTGAATTTTGAAGACAGATGATACCTCTTAGATGATTGACCACAGAGTTTTGCATTGTTGCTATTGCTCATGATTCATGAACACATAGAACTTCCCATTGGAAAGTCTTGTGCACGAGTTTCATTCTGTTTGAGTATTTGAGAAATGAGAACCACATACTGATAACATTATCTAATAGATCTCTACCAACAATGAAATCATCCTGAAGCATCTGGGGACCCCTTGCTATCATGGAGAATCAGTTCAGGTATTCTTATTAATGATGTAGTCTTTTTTGTTCTAACATAAGGTTTTTTCTTCTCATTTTTCTTTACCATCCTTCATCTCAACACAGAACTAGGATTTGTTGGTTTTTTTTCCTCTTCTTTTTTGTATTTGTTGATTATTTTGGTTATTCTTTTATTTAGTTTCATTCTCTATCTTGAAAAAAGCATCATAAAAAAGGATCAGGTTTTACAATAATCATTTTTTTTGTGTACACACTTAGTTGTTGTAGCTTTCCAATACTATGGAATAATAAGTAACTGTATTAATCTTCTCTAAGTTGAACATTTCATACTTCAATGGATGGTAGGATTTATTACTTCTCATCCTAATACACACAAACACACACATCATGTGCACTACTTTTTCAGTTAAGTTTTGGTTGAAAAAAAGAAAAGGAATTTTGTTGGGCGTTTGGGTTTTGGACTGGTTAGTTGCTCACTATTTAGTTCATGCTTAGACATGTCAATGATACCTGAAAATCTGTGGCCTGATCCGACTTTGATCTGATTATCTCGGATTCAGTTGATGTGCTTATGTAATCAGATCAGATTTGGATTTTTCCATCTGCATCTGATTAAAAATTGGATCGGATTTGGATTTGACTCCATCCAATCTGATTAAAATCCGAATCCGATTATATTATAATATTTATTGATCTTAATATATTAATCTTATATAATTATATTTAAATTTATAAAAATATATTTTACATATTATACTATATATGAATATATATATAATAATTCAATATATAAAAGTTGAAAAGTAATTAACTTTTTAACTTTTGTATTTTAAAAAATTAAAGTGGAGTTGGATCAAGTCCGAATCAGATCCGAGACCATTAAGATTCTAATTTGAATATGAGGTCTTCAAATCCAGTTGGATTTTGGATTGGATTTGGTTGCAAGTTTTCAATATTTAGATCGGATTCGGATTTTGGGAGAACCTTGTTGTAGGACTCCCATGCTCCCACTTCCTTTTGGGTTGAGGGGACCAGTATAACTGTTCATCTTATTAATTTGATCCTTTTCTCAATTCTTGGAAATACCTCTTCATTCTAAAGCTTGTTTCGTCGGCCACCAAACATTTCTTCTTTTCATGTTTTTGGGTGTTTGTGCTTTGTCCACCTTCCTCCCCATGAATGGACTAAGTTCACTCCTCAATCTGCCATGTGTGCCTTTGTGGGATATAGCCCTGACCACAAAGGATTTCTCTGCTATGATCCTCAAGCTCGTCAAACTAGGATATCTAGAAATGTATTTTTTTTTAAATATCTCCTTTTTTAGTCATGTTGCTAATAGTCCTACTCCCTCTTTCTCGATTCTGTGCTCCTTTGACACTACAAGCTCTTTGGACTCCACATCAAGTCTTGCTCCATCTCTCATTTAGTATGTCAGAAGGCAATTAGCTGCTCAAGAACCTATAGCCCTGGCTCAACCACTACTGGTACAAGGTCCCTCCTCTAACACTGTAAGTTCTCTTCCTACCTCTCCTTCTATTGCCTTACCCTCTTCTCCACCACCATTGCGTCGTTCTACTCACGTTTCTAAGCCTCCTAACCACTATGGTTTTTCTCCACCCCATAGCTCATTTTCTACTGTTTTGTCATCTATAGAGATTCCTAAGACTTATCGGCAAGCTATGTCTGTCCCACATTGGAAAGAAACTATGAACGCTGAAATTCAAGCTCTCCTGGAAAATAATACTTGGGATTTGGTTCTTGCTCCTCTTGATGCTTCTATCATTGGTAGTAGATGGGTTTACTCTGTAAAATTGAACTCTAATAGCAGCCTTGGTAAAGGCTTGTTTGGTGGCACAAGGATATAAACAGGAGTATGGCATTGATTATGAGGAAACATTTGCTCTTGTTGCCAAGATGACCACAATTCGCATTGTGCTTGCCATCTCAGTTGCCAAACAATGGTATATTCATCAAATGGATGTCAAGAATGCTTTTCTACATGCACATATGAAGGAGACAGTGTTTATGAAATCCCCTCTGGGATATTGTGATCATTCTACCATGGTCCATCGTCTGAAGAGATCTCTATATGGACTTAAACAAGCCCTTAGAACTAGGGGTGATCATGAAAAACTGAAAAACCGAACTGAGCTAATGAGACCAAATTGAAAATTCCGGTTAACCCAACCGATCGGTTCGATATTTTTGAAAAACCGAATGTACTGGTTCGGTTTCAATAAACCAATATAAAAACCGTTGGTTAATTGAACTGACCGGTACACATATATTTATATATATTATATATATTTATGTACATTATAATATTTTTCATATATATTTTATATTTTTTATATATTATAAATGCATATATATGCATTATATATTATAAATATATATTTATAATATAATGTATTATTTATTATTTATAATATAATATTTTATATGTATTTCTAGTTTTTATAATATAATATTTATTATAATATTATGAAAATAAAAAACCAAAAAACCGATGAGCCAAACTAACGGTTAATCAAACCGATCAACCGGTTAATCAATCGACTTTGGTTTGGTTTTAGTTGCTGGTTTTCCAAAAAACCTGTATTATTGGTTCAGTTTAGAGAAAAGACCCATGGTTTGGTTAACCAAGCTGTAAGCACCCCTATGTAGAGCTTGGTTTGAGTCTTATTTGATCTTTATCCTCACTCGGCCATAGGGTATTACTCTTTTGCTTCTATCGTTATTACTGGAGATGATCTTGAGATATTAGTTATGTGAAGAGTCTTCTCAGTAAGACTTTCAAGATGAAGGATCTTGGTCTTCTTACCTATTTCTTGGGTCTGGAGGTAACTCGTTCTTCTCGGGGCTATTTTGTCAACTAGCAAAAATATGCTACAAATTTAGTCAAGTTGGCTCATCTTACAAATGATAAGCAAGTTGACACGCCTCTTGAGATCATCAGTCTGGAGTTCTCTAAGGATGATGGTAAACCTCTTACAGATGCTCATCATATTGGCAGCTTGTGGATAGCCTTATTTATCTTACCATGACTTGTCCTAATATCTCCTATGTTGTTCAAGTGGTTAACTAGTTTGTTTCAACACTTTGACAACCACATATGTCCATTGTTTTTTGGATTATTAGATACCTTCGTGGTACTTTGTCTCATGGCTTGTTTTTCTCATCATCTTTTTTGGACTTATTTGCTTATGTAGATGTTGGCGAAGGTCTACAACAGGATGGTGTGTTTTCTTCGGTGGTTCACTTGTTTCCTGGAAGTGCAAAAAGCAACCAACAATATCTAAATCCTCTACTAAATCAGAGTATCGTGCTATGTCATCTGTTTGTAGTGAGATTGTAAGGTTGGAAGCTCTTCTTCAGGACCTACATATTCTGGCCTCTCATCCAGTTCCTATCCATGTTGATAATGTTACTGCAATCAAGATTTCCTCAAATCCCATGTTCCATAAATGTACAAAGTACATTGAAGTTGATTGCCATTTTATTCAAGATCAGTTTCTTGCAGACCACATTTCCCTTCCACATATCTCTTCTGGACTCCAACTTGCTGACATCTTCACCAAAGCTATGAATCGTGCACAACACAAATTTCTTGCTGATAAAGTGATGTTTCTCTCTTGGCATCAGTTTGAGGGGGGAGGAGGGAGGGGGGTTGTGAGAAGAGCTGATTTCATGTTTTTCCTATTTGAGAGTACCCTTTCATGTTTTTCCTATGGGTCAAGAGGTGTACTAATTCTTTTGTAGATTTACCGACCAAACAAGGGGTGGGAAGAAATCATTTGTTTTGGACTTATCTATGTTTTTATAATCTTTTTGGAGGAGTTAAGAGAGTTTCTCTCTCCCTTGCCTTTGTACCTATCTCTCTTTTTCTATTACTGATAAGACAAAAGGTATCAATCGGTTAATTGGGGCAGATTTGCCAACCTCTTCCAAATGGTGGTTTAGGCATAAGAAAAGTCAAAAGATTCAATTTGTCTCTCAATAGTCAGCCCAATAGAATCTCTAATTTGGATTTTCTTTTTATTGTTTGAAGAATGTAAGGTAATATTGTATTAATATATTAAAAGTATTGATGGACAATGAGAAATCTGTACAGCTACAAGTATTCAAATATCCTTAAAAAAGTTTACCAAAACGGAATAAGAAAAATCATTCTCCTTAATGTGAGCTCTAAATGATAACCACTGCCTTAGTACATAATGTTAACAGTGAGAGATGTCATTAGCCAGGGAAGATTTAGCTTCATGATATGCCTACTACGAGGATGGAGGAAGGAGCTAGTGAGGGCTTCAAACCATTTGGCAGATGGAGGAAGGCAATGAGAGTGGAAGCCAAAAACTTTTTGTTTGAAGAGCTGAAGGTGAGAAACCAGGTCAACTTGAAGGTGCGAGAAGAGAAGAAAGCAATGATCTATCTTCAGTTTGTTTCTGCAGCTTGGCTAAAAGGATTCCTAGACATGGCAATGGTCTCAAAGAAAATACACAACTGGAGTAATACCCTGAAGATTAATGCAAAGCTATTCAAAGTGGAGTTATGTTTTCACTCCTAAGGCTGGTTTATTATGCTAACTGAATGGTTTGGGCAAGGAAGAAAGCGGCTAGTATGTATCTCAATGGGATAATAGAGCATAGACTGGGCATCCTTCACAACAGAGGTGCTACAAGAGTTCCTATGTAGAGGAGCCGATGGAGATAAGCTCTCTCAGGTGGTGAAAACGAAAAGGCCAAATCCGCTAGAGGAAAAAAGTTAAGGGGAAGGGGTTGGTGCTAAGCAAAGCTTGCTGGAATGGCATAAAAGTTTGTGGTAATATGCAAATAAAAAGTCAATAAACTGGAAGAAAGTTGCAAAAGACATTAAAAAAAGGCTTGCCCTGAAGGTGCGTTGAATCTAGTCCCATTCTAGGAAGGTAAAGCCCTTCTAGAAGTAGGGAGTCTAAAGGAGGAGTACCATGCTCTTTCAATACAATCAACAAAGGGTTTGGTGGTCATTGGACAATGGAACCTTAGTGCAAATGAGATCAAACTAGAAGAAACCCCTCGGGTGAAGGTGTTAGACTTCCATCTCATGTCTGGTCATTTGATATATTCAAGAACATAGCTGACAGGTGCTGAGGAACCCTTAAGGAGCTAGATACTTTGGATTTGAGTGTGGCGACCTGTACTTTGGAGGGAGCGAAGCTTGAAGATTAATGAATTTGGTTATTCAAGAAGCACCCTACAAGATTTGGATACTATTGTCGTTGGAAGCCCAGTTGTCTAATGATTTGCTCAAGGTAGGAGAAGATGCTAAAGTGGCAGAACTGAGGACACATTGCACTTCGGCACAGGTTGTAGAAAGGAATTCAATTTTCAGGAGGGAAACCCAATTGTTCCTTCCAGTGAAAGAAAGGTTACAGGTTACTAATTCTTTGCACAAGTCTGGACCGTCCATTTAGTTAGAAGGACTAAGGATAAGTTCTTTGCTGAAGCTTTGACTAGCATCAATAATGAAACTCCCAAGAAATTTGAAAAGGCACCAAATGCCAAACCACTAGGTGAACCGAGGGTTTCGGTAAGTTTAGCTGACCCAAATTCTAAGTCACGTGATCATTTAAATGCACAAGTGCCAGGGCCATGCTGAACCGAGCGTTAGGGGATGGAAATAACACTCTATTATCTCTTTTTTCGACTCTAAGGCTGCATTTATTTGCAGTACAAATATGAATATGAATAGGTGTAATTAAACACTCCGGTTTGGTTTTGCTAGCGTTTGGATGGAGTGTAGTTAAATGTTGAAAATTGATGAAAAACTCCAATTATGTCGAGTTTTACATACAACTTCAATAAAAACGATGTAAATATTTACATGATAGTCCCACTTTACATTTACAACGGTCCATAACTTTAAACCGATCAGTGTATGGTGTAAGTACCAGGGACATGCCGAGCATTATGGATTGGACTTGCTTTTGTTTGAAGACGACCTGGGGGAAACTATAGTATTGCCAAAGGAAACAAGATTGAACTTGCTTCCCTTGGACCTGGTGGAGGGCTCATCTGTAGCTGAAAGAGAAGGGGTACAATTTCCAACAGAGGCAATGGATCAAGGTGTCCATACGTGGAATCTGGGTTTCAATGCTGATCCTCTGATACGAGGAGGGATAATTGCGTCACTTCGAGCGTGAGGTAGGCTCCAGGATACGGAAGGGAAAGGAATTGGTTAACTTTTTCTCCCTCTATTCAATTACTACCCGGCTATTTAAAGATATACAACAGAATTCAGTTACAAAAAAAGCAGAGGACTTTTGATGACTCAACGATCTCTCTAACGAAATCATGTGCGTGGAAATCAAACCCTGAACCTTGCTGGCTTTCGAATGGTTCTCTTAGGCCGTTAATCCATGTGATGATGTGCGTGGAATCCATGTGAACCAGGCACATCTTCTTCATGTTGGTCGCTCGTATCATTGCCGCTGGCTGCGAGTATGACCTTGTCCTCAAGGTCAAATTCAGGAAACTGTTGTCGGAAATGAGCAAGAGACTCCCATGTCGACTCTTCTAAGGAAAGTGGGTGAGCATCTGCTGTGGTGCGTAAAGTGGGTGAGCATCATCCGTGAGGGGTGGCAGAGGTAACGGAAGTGTAGTAGTTGGATCTGGACAGAGCTTCAAAATTGATAATGTGGAACACCGGATGGATTCGCACAGTGGGTGGAAGCCGCAATCGATTGGCAACTGGTCCGATTCGCTCAATAATTTCAAATGGGTCAAAATTTCATTTAGAGAGCTTCTGAGTGGAATGGTTAGCGACGGACGACTGACGATATGGTTGAAGCTTAACATATACCCAGGAGCCTACGGAAAACTCACGGTCCCGTCGGTGCTTATCCAACTGATTCTTCATGCGCACCCTGGCACGAAGGAGATAGTCCTTGAGCTGAAGCATAATTGTTGTGCGCTGAGCTAGTCGTGCATCCAACGATGCGATTGAGGTGGTGTCGGAGACATGATCAATTAAGTCTGGAGTAAGTCGACCATAGAAGGCCTGGTAGGGTGTCATTTCGATTGAGGAGTGGAGCAAAGTGTTGTAAGAGTATTCAACCCATGGAAGGAGTGGCACTCACGAGCGTGGTTGATCGCTAACAAAACAACGTAAATAAGTCTCTAAGCTTCTGTTGAGAACCTCTGTCTGGTCGTCCGTCTGTGGATGGTAGGCACTGCTAAAACACAAAGAAGACCCTTGAAGCCGAAATAATTCTTACCAGAAGTGACTGAAAAATAATTTGTCCCTGCCGCTGACGATCGACTGAGGAAATCCATGTAATCGAACAATTTCATGGATGAAATGCACTGCAAGTTTAGTCGCAGTGACAGAGGAGGGAAGTGTGGACAGTCGATCAACGACGATCCAAATCATGGATTTGCCCTGTACCACCGGTAAGCCTTGGATAAAATCCATAGTAATATCACTCTAGACCTGAGAGGGTATTGGCAATGGTTAAGAAAGACCCTGTGGTGCCAAAGTAGCATATTTGTTCTACAAACAGATGTTGCAAGATGCTACAAACTTCTTCGTATCTTTGGTCGTGGAAGGCTAATAAAATGATCCTTGAAGTCGTGCCAGAGTTTTTGCAATGCCAGAGAGTCTGACCACGAGTGAGGAATGATATTCTCGCAGCAATGGGAGCTGCAAATCTGAAGAAGAAATGTAAATTCTGCCACGAAAAAGTAATAACCCATTCCGAACCGTATGGTTGGGAAATTGTTCTGGCCATTGGACAACCGACTGTAAAAGCTCAAGGGTCTTGGGGTCATTAATGTACGATTGTCGAATTTCATCGAAAATTTCTGGTACTGACTGAGAACGAGAGAGAAGCAGGGAGAGTGCTGGTTGGGACCATCGTAACAGGGCATCAGGGGTGACATTAATAGACCCGGATTTATACTGTATGGAGAACTCAAACCCGAGCAATTTCACAAGCCATTTCTATTGGCCTGGCGTTTGAACGGTCTGATGTAGAAGCTTGCGGAGACTTCTGTGGTCTGTGAGAATAACAAAAGGTCGGCCAAGGAGGTATTGCCGCCATTTATGGACGGTAGCTTTGATCGCCTTCATCTCCCTAATATATGTGGAAGCTTGCTGGAGTCGAGGTCCCAATTTCGCACTGAAATAAGTATTGGGTGGTGGTTCTGGGAGAGAATTGCCCCAATAGCAGTTGATGATGCATCTGTTTCCACCGTGAAGGGGATGGAAAAATTGGGTAATGCCAACATAGGGACAAATACCATAGCGGATTGAGAGTGTGAAAGGCTTTTGCAGCAGCTGGAGACCAATAAAAATGATCCCGTTTTTGGAGATCAGTGAGAGGAGCTACAATAGTGGCATGGTGTAGGACAAACTTGCGGTAATAACCTATTAACCCAAGGAAACCACGGAGTGCTGATTTGGTGGTTGGTTGAGGCCATGAAACCATTGCCGAAATCTTGAGGATCGGCCTTAACCCTCTCTTGAGAGATTATATGCCCCATATACTCAACCTCGCGCCTCTCGAAAGAACATTTAGATAGCTTAACATAAAACTTGTGGTCGGAAAGAATATTGAAAACCTCACGCATCTCCTAATTGGATTAGGAAGCTGATTCAAAGAAGGCTATAAATAGGGGGCAAATTCACCAGTTTAAGACAGAAATCTGCAAAATTCTTTCCTAGTTTTTGCCACTCCTACCCAGTTCGATCTCCATTCTTGGATCTGATCAAGAATAATTCTTGATATTGTTTATTGCTAGAAGAAACAATTCAAAGTCGTGTTCACTGGCCCCTTGCTTGATTCTTGCTGAAGAATCAGGGTTCTTGCTGAAGAACCATCCTACTGGTCCTGCCTCACCATAAGTTGTGTCATCTTTAGT